ATAAAACTAAAATAATAATATTTTGAGGTTAATTAATTATAACACAATGAGGAAAATAATTACAACTCTATATTACGAAATATTATTCGCATGTTAACAAACAGAAACACGTCGAGCTTACAAATTTTCCACTTCAGATGGCAGTTACAACCATATGCACCTTACCACAATTTTAAGCAGTTGTTTTTCATTATATAATTCGGTCATACTTATACTGTGACACATTTATTACGTCTGTTTTATTGGCAGAATGCAAGAAATGAGAACAACGATCTCTTTATTACATTTTGTGGTAAGATTGTGTGACAACTAGCAGGGACAGAAGAATGGCAGTTCAACAACGTCTCAACTACGAGACAGGCAAATTCTGAGTTGCTGGAAATATTCAAAATATGGGGAACGAATGGTAGTGATGCGCGTTCTGGCGGCCAACAACTGACATTATGAAGCAAATCGTGGCGATCCAAGAATCGTAGACCTACTGATAACATTTTGCTTTAAATGAGCATCAGTCAGAGGAATAAACTACTCATAAATGTCGAACGACTCGGACAAAAGAATTTAATTCTGATATAATCAAGGAACTTGTGTGGACTGCTTTACCAAGAGTACAAAAGAGCAAGGATATCAGTGACATAAAAGTGAACGGCTCTGTAGAATACGAGATTCGAGCCAATTTGTGTAACGTACCTAAATATGTGTATCAATTCGATTGATTCTCCATTTAAAAGGTAACAAGAAAATGTATAAATTCGATTGATTCTCCATTTAAAAGGTTAAAAGTAGTTATGTTCATAATTCAGTCGCTTTATTTTATATATACCGATGTTGAATAAGACTTACGTTTTCTTGGATTACGACTTCAACCCGTCCTTTCCATTGGTCAAAGGCTGATCGGATGTTATATAAACGCCAGAGAAAACCCGTTTCTGTCCCTGGGGTTACAGCAACAAAGAATGGAAACGTGTGGCCTCTAGTGTCACAGGATATCATCCGATTGGCTATGGATCAATGGAAAAATCGGGTTCGAGATGTAATCCAAGAAGGAGAGAAGCCCTATTCAACATGCATGCCCATAAAGATGTGTGACTGAATTATACATAAAATACTTGCAAGATTTTCACAGAAGAATTCAGAGCCATTCATTTTTACCATTATCTTAGAGAACGTTTTTTTTATGGCGCCACAGGTTATGTCAATATGTTTATAACAATTTTAACAATAATAGGACGTGTTAAATACCAATTAATTTTAAAACATATTATAAGCGTAATTACTTTTCTGCCTAACTTTATATATCCTTCCTCATTATAAAATTACTTCGTTTTTCTTCTTCATTATTAGAACCGACAAGATATGGGATCCTTTTCAGAATAAAGTTTAAATGGTGTAGGTCTGACTAGGTCCACTACTGATCTACTCCATATAGATGTGTAGTGCCTCTATCTTCCCAATATAGTGACAGTAAAAGCCAGCGAGAAGACATAGACCCCACTATTCACCAAACTTCTTAAAAAAAGACTGTCAAAAATGATGAAACAAGAAAAGAAAACACTTACTATATAAGGCGACGACATGAAATGTTCGTGGTGGGAATGGAAGCTATGCGCATGCATTTTTCAGTACATGTGCGTTTGTGTGTGTGTGTGTGAGAGAGAGAAAAATAGGGGGAGAGAGTGTCAGGAAGTGGCAAGAGGGTGTTAAGAACGGATAAGAGGAACTACTTTAGCCTCGTCGATATCTGTCTGAGGGCTCTCGAAAAAATCAGATATGGCCAGTTTACACAGTCATGAAAGATGCCACAAAGATCTCATTCAACGACCGAGATAAGATACTTCAAACAATTCAATCCTAGTGGGTTCTGGCGACGGTAGATTGCATTTAAAGTTATTCATTATCAAGAATTTTCCACAGTATTTTTTTAAAACCCACAACGTTTCGGAGGCTGGACAGTGACAGAGACTAGCTCTATCTAAGGGACCAAAAAGATTAGGTATCTCACCTTTAATTTTGCTATTACTTTACAAAGGATGTAATTTTAAATACACGAATTGTAATTTCAAATCCGTATTAGGTCAATAAAATAATAATCCCTACCAACCTCTCACACACAGTTTATCTCCTGCACATTACTTATAAAAATATATTTTTTGCCAGCAACAAATCGCCAAAGATAATAGAAATAAGTACATTGAACTTTGGAAGATGATAACATGCAGACCAATATTTATTATACAGAGCAGTATGGTTAATAACGACTAAAGTTATCAGACGTAAGAAAAAATATAAAAGATCAGAACTTATGTATGACTGTAACCCTTTAATTCCAACGGAAAGCTACTATTTATAATAATCTTTATCTTAATTTCGCTACTCCCTTCAAAGGCTTATTTACAACAGTTTTTGTGTCATACACACGAGTATTATATTACAGCCATCCCGATATGAGATGAAATGTTTCCCTTGCACATAGTACGTAATGGAACCTCATTCCCCTTCGGGCCAACATGGAGCGTAACGGGGTGGTTTTACTTTTTTTCCTTACTTACTGGATGAAGAAATCACATATATGAATACCAAGTAGCTAATCCCTTTAATAATATAAATAATATGAATGTGATACAATACATACGTAGTGTCCATTCAAGAGTAAAACAAGAGGTAGTATCAATGCTCATAGGCTACAGAAGGAGAATATTTTAAAAAGTAAGATCTCAGAACCAATGGTTACGAAACTGTATTAGAGATATCTTAAAAAAATATGTCTGTCTGTGTTCTAAGTTGCAGCGCCATGTAGTAATTATTTTTACAATGGAGGAAGCAAGGACCTCTGAATGTTTCATCAACTGCTACCAAACTACATGGCACTACAACCCGTAAGACAGTTAACTTCGTACTCTGCGCTTTGAGTACCTCAAGTCATGCTTACTTCACAAGAGACTTACTTCATTGATGACATAAAATAGAAATGAAAGTAGTTTCGTAACTACAAAGCTATCATCAGCTGTAAATGAACATCGAAGTCAGTATTGAAAGAAAACAAAGAAAGCATTTAAAAAATTATGAATACCCAAAATGTCAGTGTGCATTTTCACACCTGCTTCTTTCTCAAAATAAATGGTAACAACAAGAAATTAAAAGTACATTCGCAAAGAATTTTACAGCAGATTACATGTAAGAAATGCCTGTTGCCAACCAGTTTGTAATTTAACGAGAGGAATGAATTCCCTCAGCTTCTCTCAAGTTAGGTTCACAGCTGTCTTATCTCCCTTTGTCGGGTTAATCCAGCCAGAAACATTCAGGGAATAAAATATCAGCCACTTACCACTGCAATGAATGCAATATGAGTGGCTGGTGGCGTCTAGCAAAACGGTTGAAATTTGAGGTAAAAAATTTGGCTTAATTGTAACTTACAACCGACTAAAACGGTTGAAATATGAGGTAAAAATTTTGGCTTAATTGTAACTTACAACCGACATAAGCTTGAATTAATATAATCATGAAATTCATATATTTTTAATAAAATGTTAAGAAGTTTATAATAAAACTTAATTCAAGTTCAGATTCTATGTTGTAGTATGCAGTTTAAGTACTTTACGTTCCCTGTAATTTTTATAAAATATGCTTTTTTTAGTCTTATTACTTCTAAAATGTTATCATGTTTTATATCAACGTCTCCGGGTTCAAAATGTCAGTGTTCAAATGCGTGGAGTGTATTTTACATCTGGAAACACACACTAGACCAAAATACAGACCTTGGGTCATAAACTTCGATGAAAAAAATTACCTCATTTCACACAAAATTCAGCGGAATATGACAGTAGAATACAGAATGGAATACAGAAACATGCATAACCAAGCCATACACACTGTGAGCAGAATATTTCAATGAGCGCCTCGAAACTGACATCGCACAAGGTAGTTTATTTGCAGACATGTCATGATAACCTCAATTTACGTATCACGTTACATGTTCTGTACCATGTAAGGTTAACAACGGAAACGTTATTAACGTAATGAGACTCTGAATAATGGGTAAATTGTCCTTGTGCGTAAGCAGCATGCCGTTAATGCAAATGACGGTGTGGACAAAA